GCTGGCGGACAGCGGAGACTAATTCATCGGGACGCGTTTATCTTGTCTAACTCGGGCCCGATACACGCACGGTATCGCGAGATTAACACGGTGGGCCGCGGGACATGGGGCGAGGTGAAAGCAGTTATGGATGTACGGACGGGAACGAAGAGGGCGGCAAAGAAGATTCCAAAGTATTTTGTGGAAGATGCGGATCGATTTCTACAGGAGATTGAGATCATGAAAGGACTGGATCATCCGAACATAGTGCGGTTGTTCGAGTCTTTTGAAGATACCAAGGACATTTATCTCATTATGGACTTTTGTGCAGGTGGTGAACTCTTTGACCGACTTGTGGATGGAGGCACATTCAACGAAGCACTCGCCTCCCGTATCATGCTCCAAGTGCTTCAGGCTGTAGCCTACTGCCATTCGCGCCGAGTGGCACATCGCGACCTAAAACCCGAAAACTTCCTCTTCCTGAACCAGTCCCCTTGGTCGCCCCTCAAACTTATTGACTTTGGACTGGCCTCCAAGTTCACACCCGGCATCCCAATGCGCACCAAGGCCGGTACGCCCTACTATGTTTCCCCCCAGGTTCTCGAGGGCCGTTATGGTCCAGAGTGTGATGTATGGAGCGCCGGCATTATCATGTACATCCTACTGTGCGGTTACCCACCCTTCAATTCTTACTCAGACCGCGGCATCATGCAAAAGGTTCGCGAGGCACAACTAGAATTCCCTATGGCAGAATGGGCCAGCGTCTCTCGCGATGCGAAAGACCTTATTCAAAAATTACTCACACGACATCCGAAAAAAAGAATCACCGCAGAGCAAGCTCTCAAACACCCTTGGCTCGCCTCACACAGCACCGAACAGGTGCCTCGATTCGGTGTCGAACTGCTCGAAAAGTTCCGACGCTTCCAAGGCCTTAGCCGACTGAAGAAAATCGCGCTCACAATCATGGCCCAGCACATAGATGAAGGAGAAATCGCTGGATTGCGCGAAATATTCATGGCCTTAGACACCTCAGGAGACGGTGTACTCTCCGTAGACGAGATCAGAGCCGGCATCGGACGAGCCGGCTTCAAGAAGCTACCCGCCGACCTGGACACCATGCTCCGCGAAGTTGACACCTCTGGAACAGGCACCATCGACTTCACAGAGTTCATTGCAGCCTGTCTCCACCAGTCACAATACAGACAAGACGAAATGTGCAGAAAAGCCTTCACCATCTTCGACATCAACCACGACGGCAAAATCAGCGCCGAAGAACTCGAGACTGTCTTCCACCTGGCCAGCGGCGAAAGCGACGACGCCGCAACCCATGAAGTCAAACGTACTCAACCACACCACACCACAGCACCCCACCCACACCTCCACCACTCATTTCTTTCAGAGGCTTTACGGGAAGCAGACGCAGACGGGGATGGAGAAATATCGTTTAAGGAGTTCGTCAGCCTCATGCGGAGAGTACCATCGAGGACTCTGCTCGGCTCCTGCCCGGAGGAAGCCGCAGGCATGATGGTCCGGGTTAGCTCCCGTCCGAACATCCTACGGCGACACCCATCCGATATCGTCGCCCAACCTCAGAGGAGCGCCAGTCTTCACCTCTGGGACAAGTACTGATTCTTTTTTAGACTCGCTCAAAAACTCCAAGTCGCGCGCCATCCCGATTTTAGCTAATACCGATCGATACCACGATCACATATGCATGACTCGCATGCACGGCGCGTCGATGTGCGCGAACGGTCGCACAAGCAGTGGCCGTTAAACGACCCAAACTCCGCAACCGCTCAGAACCGCCCGTCAAAGCCTTGGAATCCACACAAGAGGAAGTACGGGTAGTAGTCCTTCTTCTCGATCTGGTTACACCAGTTCCAAGCGGAGGTCAGACGGCCGTCAATGCAGGACCCTGCGTCGAAGAAGTTGTCGGCACCGCTTCCGTCAAAAGCGTGCCGGAAAAAGTCCGTCAAAATCCGGAGCCTGCAGAAACGCTCGATTTGAACCCGGCCCGCCACTTGGCTCCCCCCCTCCCTCACTTGGCGGCACCCCACTTCACTTGTGTGAGCCTTACTGTAGGTGTTGGACGTCGCCGTATCCGCGTCGAATCATTTCGACGATTTCAGGGCGCTTCTGTCTCGGCAGTTGTTCCAGGACTTGGATCAGAGGTTGGACGATGCGGGGCACCTGGAGGTATTTGTCAATGAACATGAGGGCGTTTGGAACGTTGTGGTCGCCTAGGTGGACGACACTACTGCCGATCCAGCCCCCGCACTGGCTCATGACCTTCCTCAAAATCTCGTTAACGCAGCGCTGGACACGCGGAGCGGGCTGCACTCGGTTGAGTCCCTGACCGGTGGCGGAGAGGCGGTAGGAAGGCGAGGCAAGCCAGCCACTTCCGTCGGTGGCGAGCAGGTCGGAGTCGGCGAGGGTCCAGAGTTCGAGGAAGTTGCGCAAAATCTCCTTCCACAGCAACAACGTCTGCTTCACATAAAGGAACTGGCGCTGATGGCTGTGCGTCAATCTGGCTCCCTCCTGTCCCAGCGCAATAGCCAAGGAGGCATCTGCGCTCGTCGGCTTCTCAGCGTCGTAAAACGTAACCAAGTACTGATACAGCTGATCGACCGGCTTCTCATTGTACCGCAAAAACGTCATATGGTCCTTCAACGAGTAAATCGCCAACTCCACGTCCTCTTCACTCAAGGCCTCACTCGCAACACCCGACCGCGGCAACACCAGCCGGTCCGCTCCATCACTCACCGGCTCCGGCTCGGCGCGAGCAAAAAAGAAATTTCGCAACAAACCACGCCTGCCGTCCCCCGCGGCCCGAGGAGTCGCGCAATACTTCTCAACCAACGACTTGGTCGCCGCCTCCTTGCGTTGCTGCATCAACCGCACCTGATCCCGTGTCAAGCCGTAGTCATAAATCTCCTGCGTCGCAACCACCAACAACGGGTCGTCCAACAACTCCAAACCACGCTCCTTCTTCTCCAACAAATTGTATACTGTTCGCACTGGCGTTACACAATCAAACTCCAACACCTGACTAATCGCCTTCGAACTCGTGTCCATTAGCACATACATCAACTTCCCGTAATTCTCCCTCATCTTCTCAGGATTCAGAATCTTGTACCGCCGCCCAATCTCGAAACAACCTTGGTAAAACCGCTCCAATGACTTGAAATCGCGGTCCTTCATCAACCGCTGACCCTCCTCGTAGTCCCGAGCCATCACCAACCCCGTCAAGATCGAACATATCTGCCGAATCTGCTTCAGAATCTGCTTGTTCTTATTGCCCGCATGGATAATGTCCACCTTGTCCGTGTAATCACTGATGTACAACGTGCTCTCCAGCAACCTCAAAATCTCCCGCTCTTCGTACACTAGCCTTAGCGGCGTGTAGCGGGATAAGTGCTTCAGTATCTGCCGGTTAGACATGCTACCGGCCCTGTACATACTGGCCAGCTCCGCGCCTTCGGTCAGCACCTCACCAGCTGCAGCAGCAGTTGTGCTCGTACGGCTGTCTCCGCCCTTTTCCTGATCCTCAAAAGTCATGGTCGCATACTGGCTGTCCACCGCCTCCTTGATCTTCTCGGTAAGTTCTCGGCCCACATCCGCAATGATATCTCGAACTTCACTGCTCGGTTCCTTCCTTAATCTCTCTATGACTGCGAAACACTCTTTCATTGCACAACCAGGACGCCAGGGTGTTCGGGGCGGGCGACGGAGTTGGGAAGTGTTTGCATACCTCGCAGCCAGTCTTCTGTTTTGAAATGCAATGCAGCCGTCTTCAGCTCCGGCGCCAATTCGTCGAGCACCGCCAGGATACCACCGTCTTCTCCCTCGTCCTGCTCTGAGTCAACTACGACGACGTCGTCCTTATCCAGAATGTTTTTCAGCATGGACAAAATATATAAATTTCAAAAGTGCGAGTGCTGCAGAGCAACGTGAGGAACGCGCAGCACTTCGTACAAGGCGTGTGAATCGTCTGGCGAGGGTCCCCACTCCACCACCTCGTACACTACCAAATCCCAGTGCAGTTCTGATACCGACGATATCACCTAAACAAACAGTTTTATCTGGCCCAGTCAGTATTCACTCACTTGATCTACAAACTGCGCAGCAGCGAAAGCCTGCTGTTTGGTAAGTGCATGGCTGCGATGTTTCGGGCTCAGAAGACTCACATGGTCTGCACGCTTGATTTGAATCCCGCGCTGACCACGTCTTCCCTTCAGCTCCAGGGGTACTCCACACTCCCGCTCCAATGCATGAGCTATACCTTTACATAAACGATTCAGCTTATCCTCTTCTTCAAACCAATGAGAGTCTAGCGGCATAACTAAGCCATTGTCCGGCGTCACCTTAATCCACTTCAAGCGACGGTTGTATGCCGCAGCATCGGCGTCAAAAACTCTCCTCGGATCCATTGTCCCCGGGCCCATCTCGTACAAAGGTCCCCGACACACCCGGTAAAACGTGTCCTCCTCTCCCTCATGCCTTCGTCCTCCGGCAGGCGTCCCATCAGTGCCCGCCGCATCAAATACTCTTTCCTCAAATACTCCTTCCTCAGATTCTCCTTCCTCAGCACATTGCACTACTTCCTCAATGTCATAAACTCTTTCCCCGGCGTCTTCCTCCCTTTCTTCCCTCCTTAAGTCTGATGCAGTCGTAAGGTTATCAGCAGCCTCACTGTCCTCACTGTTCTCCCGAGCCCGCGGGATACACGACGATCGATGATGCGCATCCACGAAGTTCATAACAGCTTTGCGCAAAGCTCGCAAAACGCTTTCCTTCCTGCATGGTTCTTCCGAAGCCTGAATCGAGAAGAAGCCGGTCAAGCTACAATGTAGCGGGTACTGGAATGATTCATCCTTCCCAAAGACGGCACCGAGATAATCACGAGCAAACAATATCTTTTGAGTCACGTCCATCGCCGGGGACGGCTCCAAATACACAATATAACATCCCAAATCATGCTTTATCGAGCATGATGAGTCACTGCCGGCCGAGGAGGACTCGTCGCTTATAACTGATGTTGGTGAACGATCACTCTCCTCTCCACTGTAGGTAGAACACACTGATAAATTATTCTTCCGCGGGGTACCAACGACCTCCCTGTTTGCGATAATGAGATCCGGTAGCATAAGGATCATAGCAGCAATATATCTTGAGTTGATGATGCTTATCTTAACTTAGCCTCAGTCTTGTCTTGTCAAATCCCGAGCGGCTGGGTCATAGAGTTAAAGACTCACAGCCATGATGTCACACGTCTTGTTGAACTCTTATACACGTTGCGATGCCCTAGAGCAGTAGTCCGTTGCGGAATCGTCGTTGTCCAGACTTGAATTTTTGTTTTCGAGCAAACGTGTGCGCCGAACACACGTGTGTGCGCGCGGGTTTTAAAAAGGGATACTACCAGGGGAAATCCATGCAGAGATACCTTTTTTGCAAATGAGTTTTTGGATTGCGGAGGAGCAGCTGGACGCGCCTCGTCTGGTGATCTGCAGCAGAGATAGATCTTTCGCGTGTGAAAAGTGCCAAGAGGAATACGGAGTTAACGTCCACAATTTGGAGGCACGGTTTTGGTATACGCCGAAGGTTGATAGCTGCTCCAAGAGAGCGACGCAGCGTGATGACGAGCAGATAGACGGTGAAAACCTGTTTGAATCATTTCTCGCATTTGTATTGGAGGTAATTTCGGATCGCTGGGGCGGTGAAATTGCGAACGAGGTAGTGGAGAATACAGAGTCACTCGCGAGCATTTTTATAGCGATCCCTGCGCGAGTTGGGAGCCAGAACATCAAGAGACTTCTTCAGGCGAAGGTAATAAAGAAGGCGAACGATTCATACACGAAGGGCAAGACTGGAGGTTTAGACAAGAGAGCGCTCGGGATAACGGAGTCTTACGAGACCTTTGAGATTGTTACAGACAATGACTTTCAAGACATATTTAACATGCTGGATGTGTTACAGACGATGCGAAAGAACATCATTTTCTTTTATGATACAGTAATCAAGCCGACTATATGTTATCAGCATAATGGAGCGTTCCATAGACACCTGCACAATCTGAAGAAGCGCTTCATTAGAAAGGTGACGAGTAGCCGCGAAGACGCTGAAATTGATTTGTCAAAGAGTCCCACTGTCAGGTCGATTCGATATGTTGAGGAGGACGAGGATGATATTCCGGAAGAAGTTATCAGCAACTTGTCCGAGGGGGCGTACGGCTGCAGCTTTAGGCAATGGTACCACAGGCTCTATGGCAGAGGCTTCTGCCACGTGGTCAAGCAGAGCATTATCAGCTCAAGACTCTTCAACAAACGCTACTTGAAACAAGAACTGAGAGACTTAAGGTCCAGTATTATATCTTCCATCAATGGTGCGTTCAATGACATATCTCTGTGACGTGCCCTATTCCTGCTGTCACATTCACTCAGGCAGTATATAATTGAGAGCCTTTGGTGAACAAGTCTATTCCGAATACATAACCCTCAGAACACGTCACCTCAGAACACGTGGCCGTCAAAACAGTGAAGATTTGTGAACAGACAAGGCGAATGGTACGGGCATGCATCTCTGGACCTGCATCAGATAGCACATGCCCGGTGCCACATGCTTGGTTGGATGGAACTGATTACTTGGGGGGCACCACACACAGCCTCCGGTTTAATAGTTTTTTTCCTGACATGAATGACGACAGCCACGCATACCCCATTGCTGATGTCGCTCTAACGTCAAAACTGCACAGTCTCATCAATTTATCCAGCTCATATGAGCAACTGCGAAAAGGCATTAGCGAAAGTACCCATCCCCTCTCCCCCCCGGTCTTGCTTCCGTCCCTTTCTGCCTCCTCTGCCATAAGGTGATTTTGTGTAGCTGTCAAGGCCTTGAACAAGACCCAAGCACAACTGGTGGTTTTAGCGGCTGATGCCGCTCCACTGGAAATAGTACTCCACATCCCGCTTCTTTGCGAACAGCGCGTAAGTCCCCCCCCCTCCCCTCCCCTCCCCT